TACAAAGCAATGTGAAAAGTGCTACAAAATTGGCATGTATAAAATTACTTGAGACCACAGGGGGTAGACAATCCTTGTTTGGGATGGAGTTAGAGATAGCTTTCCAGAAGAAGTGAACTTTAGAAATTAAAGTTAAGGGATAAGAGGGTTCAGCTGGCCAACTAGACAGTTACCATTGAGTTGATTCTGACTTATGATGCCCTCATGAGTGTGCAAGTAGAACCGTGCTCCATAAGGTTTTCAGGGCTGATTTTTCACTACACTATCAGGTGTTTCTTCCAAGGCAACTCTGAGTGGGCTCTAACCTCCAACCTTCTATTAGCCGTCAAGCACATTAACAACTGGCACCACTCAGAAGCTCCAGCCAATTAGAGAGGGAAGGACAACCTAGGTTGAGAAGGTCACCTAAAACAGATCAATATATTAAAGAAAAAGGAAGAATTTTAGTGTGGTTTGCAACAGGGTGTGAAGTGGGAAATGATCAGCAATGAGTCTGGAGCAGTGGACTGGGACAGGTCTTAGAGAGCCTTGTCAATCATTCTGAGGGGGTTGGCATGTAAAAAAATTCTACTCTAAGGTGTAACACATCAAATTCATGTTTTGGAAAGTTCACTGACTCTGGGGAAGCCAGGGAAAGATCACATTCATAGCACAAGACTAGAGAAGGGAGACTCAGAAGACTAGCATAGGGCGTGCTGGCTAGAGAGGAGGAAAGAGTTGAGAAATATTTCAGAGGCAGATTTCATGACTGGTCACAGTGATCAACTGCAAGATGTGAGAGTCAAAGGTGACTCTGATATTCACTCATTCATCAGGCATGTACTGTGTGCCTTCTCTGTGCTAGGTACTTTGTTAAGCATTGGGGATACAGAGCTGAAAACAGCATGATTCCTACCCTAGAGGAGCTTTTAGTTTAGTGGGAGAACAGAGAATAGTAATTAAAACTGCAATGTTCTATGCACCAAGGGCTCTGAGAGCACTGGAATCAGCAGACTAGTAGGTAAAGTAGCTAGGTAGGTAGCAGTCTTGTAGAGGAGGTTCTGGATAGACAGTTGGGTTGGGTGTTGGGTTTAGGGTGTCATTTACTGTAGTGTGGTAGCCAGGGTGGGGATGTTAATGATCAGTGGAAATCAGCCTGGAGGTGAGGAGAATAGATCTCTCTGTGGGTATAGAGTATGACACAATATGCATGCAGATCGAGTACTGGATTCCTCAGAGGAATGGAAGAGAAACTGTGAAGAGGGCCAAGAGGTGAACAGAACCCAGAAGGAGTTAAGAAAAGTTGTCAAAGAGAGATGAGGAGAATCCAGAGTGGAAAGAACTATTGTGGCTGAAGGGAAAGGAGTGATCCTAGGTGACAGATGCTGCCAAGAGAGTAGGTAGTGGGGTTGAGGTGTCCCCTGGATGAGGCAATTAGGATGGCATTAAGCAGAAGGGAGGGTATGCCCATCAGATGCTGTGAGGTGTGACACAAAGGGGCTGTGAAGATGCTGAGAAATGAATCTGGCTCTTTCAGAAGCTGATTAGGAAGCAAAGAAGAGATAAGCCAGATAAGCCTGGTGTGACAGGTGGGCTTCATAAAGCATAAAGAAAGCACTTTTAGGATGGAAAACACTTTAAATGTTTATTCTCATCTAGACTGGCTATATAATTTGTGATGTCCAGGGCAAAATGTAAACAAGGGACCTCTTAGTAAAAGAGTATTAAGAATTTCCAAATGGCAACAGCAGAGCATTAAACCAGCATAGGGCCTGTGCGGTTAAGGTTGTATGTCGGCTTGGTGGGGGCATGCTTCTCAGTGGTTTGGTAGTTATGATGCAGCCATCACCCATGATGAGATCTGACATAATGCAATCACTCCCATGATGAGATCTGCTATGAGCAGCCAATCAGTAGAAAGAGAGTTTCCTTGGGGGTGTGACCTGTTTCTAATATATATGGCCTTTACGAAAAAGTCTCTGGCTTTTTGCTTGACCTAGATCCTGTATCTGGGTGGTCATTATCACCTGACCTCTGGTTCTTTGGACTTTAGCCAGTGGCCTGCCATACTGTCTGCTGATCTTGGGATCTGTCAGCATCTATAGCCCATGAGCCATCAGCTTGCTATCTGTCTGGGTGATCTTGGTTTCATCAACTCCTGCAGTTATGTGAGTCAGGAGAAATCTCCAGCCTGATGTCTGACCCACAGACTTGGGACTTGCCAGCCTCTACCACCACATTAGCCATTTCCTTGAGATAAATCAATCTCTCTCTCTCTCTCTCTCTCTCTGTCTCTCTAACCTTCACTGGTTTTGCTTCTCTAGACACTCTAGCCTAAGACATGCACTTTCTGTGGGCAGGGTCCTGTGTGACTGCAGAGGTGAATGGCCAGGAAGCTGCAAGGGAGGAGGAAGGTGGCTGGGTCTGTGACAAAGCTCAGTCCCAAAGCAAGTGGGACCCAGAGTCCAGATGGAGGTAAAGCCTTGAGTAGGAGGAAAAACAGGGCTTTGGTCATCTTCTGAGATGATAATGGTGATGGAATGGAAAGGAAGGGGTGCTGGAAGTAGAGTTTATGCTGGAGAAATTATTTTCTTTATTGAATAATCTGTGGGTAGAGGAGAGTGGCAGAAGTTTGGGCAGCATGAGGGGACTTGGAAGCCACACTGAGCAGTGCTGAGAAGCCCTAGGGGAAATGGTTGACTGAGCGTCAACCATGGGTTGTGAGCATAGACTCACAGGCCTGGGGAGAGTGGTAGTGCTGGATCAGGAGCCAAGTTGGAAGGGCTGATGAGACATGCGGTGTCCAGAAGGACTGGAGAGTTCTCTCAGTGAGGAAGCAGTTGGACAGTGAGATCGGAAGGATAGGAGCCCTAAGTGTCAAAGGGATAGACTTTACAGATTTAATATTCTGGCCGTAGAAGCTAGTGTAGCTGGGGTAGGGCAGGTCTACAGAACTCGTTCAAAGAATTAAGTAGCAAAAGTAAGAAGAGCTCAAAGTTCTGGTGGAATGAGTAGAAGTGCACATGTAAATGTGCATGTTTGTAAGGGAAAAGGAGCCCTGGTGGCACAATGATTAAGCACTTAGATATTCTGGTGGTTATGTTTGTGTGTCAACTTGGCTGGGCATGGTTGAGTGGCTGGGCAGCTGGTGGTAGTTATTCCCCATGATGAGACTGGCAATCAGCTCCATGGTGGGATCTACCACAAGCAGCTGAGTAGCTGTCTTTGGGATGTGGTCTGCTTCCTGTATATAGGGAGAAGCCTTGGGAATGGTCTGTAGCCTATGGCATGCTTGGACCCTGCATGTAGTTGTGTCGCTGCTCAGTAGCCTGCCATGCTCTGCCGATGTTGGGACTTACAATGGATTTAAGTTAATGGCCTGCTATGTGGTTTGGTAGCATCCGGACTATGCCTTTTTACTTGCCAACTGTGGGGCTTCTCGGCCTCAGCAGCCAGCAGCTGTCTAAGTGAAGAAAAGCCTCTAGCTCCAGTGGGCTGGGAGCAGGAGGCAGAGCTGGACCCCGAGGTTAAGGGGCTTTCACCCAGCCCCTAGAGCCTGGCACTTTGAACTTGGACTTAAAGCCTCCAAATTGTAAGAATAAACTCGTTTTTTAAGGCCATCCCATTTCTTGTCAGAGTGGCACTAGGTAACCAGAACAGATGTTAACCAAAACAGTTGGTGGTTCAAACCCACGCACTGGCTCTGCCTTCAGAGTTGCTCTAGAAAATCCCGGGGGGGGGGGGCAGTTCTACTCTGTAACGTGGAGTCACTATAAGTCAAAAATAAACTACGGCACACAATAACGTGACAGGGAAAAATCCTAGGAGGGGAAAGTTTAAAGATGGAGGCGAAGCGGCTAAAAATGGGACAAAATTTTATTTTCCACTGACAGTATAAAAAAGGAGATAAGTGGGTATAGAGCTACTCTGTAAAGATAAAGATGCGTGTGTTGACAGCGATTGTGAATTAACGGTGCGACCTATATGAGTTACAAGGAATCCGGGACTTACTGTGTGTCGCCTGGGAATGGAGAGGACCGTGAGTTCTTACAGCCAACAAACGAAGGGGGTCGCCCGTGAGCAGCGTGGAGGCGGTGGGAGGCAGCGTCGAGTCTCCGGCTCCGGCATGGCCGAGGCCAGTCGGCTGCAAATCTTCCTTCCAATACTCTCGGTTATGAGTGTGTGTGTGTGGGGGGACTTTGGCTCATCGCTGCCTCTCCGAAATTCCGTGATCTCGCCAGTAGCGCCCCTGCGGTCTCACAGTTCTAGTTAGGGCTTTCGGATACCTTATTCTGTAAGAGACGCAAAGCAGAGAGTCAGTCAGCACTCGCCGGGCGCCTCCAGGGCCAAACACGGCGCTGGGGACCTAGCGCAACCTCCAGGTCTCATGCCTGGCGCCCTTTGGGCTTGCCTTTTGAGAAAGAGCTCCCTGGGTCTCCGGCTTCCCCTCCTCCCTGGTCGCTTCCACCACCCCGCTAGCTACCGGAGGCTGGCTCCCTCGCTTCCAGATGCCCAGATTTTCCGAATACCGGTGGCAGAAGTCTGGCCGCCGCCGCCTTCATCTGGGAGTTTCCACCTGGGTTAAGGTAGGGGAGGCCCTGCTCTCCCGTGCCCGGTGCTCCTAGCGGCGTAGCGCAAAGCCGGCTTGCCCTTCCAGGCACTGGGTCCCCGCAGTCAGGGCAGTCGCGCCGGCAGCG